AGGGGAGAGAGGGGGAGCAGCGGAGCTACGAGTGCGGCCGAGGACGGCGACGGCGATGGTAATTCGACCGATGGCTGGGATCGGGGGAAGTCGCGAGCTGGTGAGGTGAGCAAGTCCTTTCTTTTATCCCGTTTATTTGTTGCTAAGGCTGTATTGGAGAAGAAAAATTCTTTGGATTAAGCTGTAGTTCTAAATGTAGAACTAGAAGTAATAATTGCGAGAATGAAGCTTATCATTGTCAACTCGATGGCACGTTTCGAAGTTAAAAGAGCTCCACAAAAGAATTGGATGTTCGTTACATAGTATATGTATTATTTGTTATCATAAATACCTTCGCTTGAAGTGCACTTCCATTTTTTTGACATGCGTGTGTTAAAAATGCAATTGACGAGCTCCTATACTAGAAGTAGGCGAGGCACAAAGTAAGCCACTGTAAAATTACAGCTGCCCTCTGCATTATATTGAAGAAATATCATATCTTCCTTTAAACATGTTATGTTATAGGATGTAGTAAAGCAAAATGATGGAGAACTGGGAAAATGTTTTATTGGCTGTTATTTAAATTCAACCATCTATGCTTGTATAGTCCTGTACGTGGTGAACCTTTTTGTAATTTTTTTTTTATAAATGAATAAATTTACCAATGTAATGAAAGTACAGAACAAATAGCTCAACTGAGCAGTACACAACAAAACAGAAGGCTACAAAAATCTATCAAAACTTCACATGTATCTATATATACAATGATAAGGGACTTTTGCCGTAAAAACTCTAGTCAAAACTTCACGCTTAACTGCAGCAACCAAGCAACTGGCGTCAGAAGATTTTTGAGAAAAAACCTATAGTTTCTTTCACACCACATAGTACATACGGTACACAACAGCAGCAACACTGGTTTTAGGGATCCTGTGCTTCACCGATCTTCCCCTGCATAGTACACAACTCCAATGCAATACCTTCTGCAATGGAGATGGATAAGAAAAGACTCTGTTTCATGCCATAACGTGATCCCAAACAGCAGCCGAAAAAGAACACTGAAAAAGCTAGTGTTCAAGATTTTCCTCCTGTTGCATACACAAGCAGCAGATGTTTGAGTATACAATCCCTGTTTGCATAATCCTGTCCTGAGTGAGAAGTCTCCTTTTAGCAGCTAACCACTTAATGAAACTATGTTTTGGCCCGGTTAGGGTTCTCCAGATCAAAGGAGACCACTCAGCAACAATATCCAAATCATATAGCATATGGTAGACAGCAGAAATTTTAAAATTGCAGTGAACAAGAAAGAGAGAGGTTATGAACAGAGGCATCGATAGACCCCCATTTTTGCAAGAGAAAATCTCTAACTTTTAGGACATGTTTCCATTGCCATGAATCCACAATTTTAGGCCTAACATGCCAATGAAACTATGTACTTAGTGAACTTTCCTTTTACAGTATTCGCACACCTTTAGACTATCCTGCATCCAGCTTTTGATGGGGTGAGGGTAGCTAGTATACTTGTTAAAACTATAATGACTGCAACTGGTAATGCTGTTGTATTGTTACCATTCTTCTGAAGTTTTTGGCATGTGACACTAGATTTGTAACTTAAGTGCAGGATGATGATTCAGTTTCATGGAGGAATAGGAAAAAACACTTTTTCGTATTGAGTCACTCTGGGAAACCAATATATTCGAGGTACCTTACATATCCTGTGAGCTTATTTCAATAATTCTTTCCAGAAATTTTCATGGATCATGTTTCATTTTTTATTCATCACACTGTTGTTCATTCAGGTATGGAGATGAGCACAAGCTAGCAGGATTTTCAGCAACCTTGCAGGCCATAATTTCCTTTGTGGAGAATGGGTATGCTGCTACAACCAGCTTATTTGGCAACCAGCCAACAAGCCTTCTTCTATCTATTTGGGGTTGGCAACCAGCTTCTTAGGCAATATGCTTATTCCATTAGTCTGCTAAAAATTAAAAAAATGATTTCATATAATTTGTTTCCAAATGTTTTCTGTAGGGGAGATCATATCAAATTTGTAAGAGCTGGAAAACATCAGGTCAGCTTTCTTTGCTGTGCAATATGTGTAACTATCTATTGCCTTTTCCCCTGAGCTTGCGATGATATTTTACTGGACTTTCTTTTCAATTTGTTACTTGTCAGTGAAGTTGTTATTATTTGATGTTAATGTTAAACATTTATTTTGTTGAAGAGTTCAGGATTTTCATCCTATCATTGTATTGCTAAAGTTCACCATCAGCCATCAAGAGATTCATATGCTATGTTGTAAAAAAAATTTCATTTGTTATCATGGAGGTCCTTCTATGATATGATGTTCTTATTACCAGTGAATAGCATGATTTAGTGAGGGAATGATTTAATCTTTTGAAACTTCATAGACCATTTACTTGCCTGATCTATTGGTGGGACTTCAACAAACTATATGCCTACATGAGGTTTTGGAGGTCTAGGTTAGGGCACGACATAGAATTAGTATTGGAGGTCATTTGGGTTCTTTGGTTTAAGTATATTGAATTTGTTGACTTGTTTGGTTTGGGCATGTTATGTTGGGAGAAGTGACATGCATGAACCTGATGAACTGGGTTTGATAATCATGCATTTTGCATCAAAATGAGAAATTCATTCTGTAACCAATATTGTTCCCATTTTACGAGAAGGGTATTAGGGGCTTTTTGATCAAGTAATTTCGGATTTAGTAGGGTTTTACTGACCAATCAGTTTTAAGTAAAGGATACTGAAAAGAAATATGAATTGCCTGAACATGAGTTTATGTCCGGCTATACTTTGATCATGTAGGTTGCAGCTACTCATGCTCTGGATTATGGTTTTAATTTCAATATCTATATTTTTAGGTGATTTTTCTTGTGAAAGGTCCAATATATTTGGTCTGCATATGTTGTACTGAAGAACCATATGAGGCATTAAGGGGACAATTGGAGCTACTATATGGACAGGTATGTGAAAAGGCAATGTATGGAACATCATCAACATAAGTTGTCTACTTATAGCTCATCATTGAATTTCTGTTATGCATCAACATGTCCATTTATTCTCCGGTGTTTTATGGTATCTATGCAGATGCTGCTAATTCTGACGAAATCAGTCAACAGATGTTTTGAGAAGAATCCCAAGTTTGATATGACTCCTTTGCTGGGAGGAACTGATGCTGTTTTCTCTTCTCTGATTCATGCTTTCAGCTGGTTTGTAATTCTTCTCACTTGTTAATCAAATATAAACATTATTATTCTGTAGCAAATGTTTGGTCTAATTTGTCAGTCTTAAGTAGTGAGGAAATTCAACAGCCTGTTGTAAGAAATTATTACTAGACTCAAATGTAGCAATGATCTAGCATATTAACAAAGATGGGTAATGTATGCTACTTGTTCTTCACCTAGTGTGGCATCATG